ATTTGTTCTAATGGTGTTTGTAAATAGGATATAAATTCTGCATCTTGCACAGCAATTAACCACTAAGAAGAATGTATGCAATGTGTTAATCATTGAAACTGTCCTACTAATTTGATTTGAAACTGTCTCTTTATCAATAAAATTATAGCAAAAAAAACTCTTTGAGTTTATATTTCTCTATAACTTAGTAGAATCCATTGTGTAAAAATACAATATATTTTCAATTCACTCCAAATTGATGGGCTTTTCCAAGATTTAGTTATTAAATATCATACCATTATAAACATGGGTATACCTATGTAACTGTGGTGTCATTTAAATTTTCCGGAATGATACCCAGAAGGGAAATAACTGAATCAAATGAGACTTCTAATATCAGGCTTTTGAAGAAACACCACACTGCTTTCCAGATGGCTGTACTGTCTACATGCCTACAAACAGTCCAGAAGTCTGCCTTTTCCCCACAACACCTCCCGCATTTGTTATTGGCTGATTTCTTGATAGTAGCCATTCTTTCTGGGTTGAGATGGAATCTCAATGTTGTTTTAAAGAAAATTTCTTAATGATAATGATAGGGAACATTTTGTAGTGTATTCATTTGCCATTTGTATTTCTTCATTTGAGAAGTGTGATTTCAAGCCGTTTTGGATGGCCCTATGAATTGGTGGTTCTGATTTCTTCCAATTATTTAGTTCCTCTAGATGAAAGTCATTTGCTTGAGGGAAAATTAGACAAATTTTGACCACTCTTTTTATTCTGCTGGCGATTTCTTTTGCTGTTCAAAAACTCTTTAATGTAATATGATATCCAAGCTGTTGATTCTTTAAAGTATTTCCCATGCAGTCTAGACTTGTTCATGAACTCTCTACCTACACCCATATCTTCAGATTTCTACGTATTTTCTCTTCCAGTAGATTTGGTGTTTCTGCTTTATATTTAGATCTTCGATCAATTTTTATTTCAATTTAGTTCATGATGATAGAGATGGGTCTATTTTAGTTTGGGGCATGTGAAATGCCAGTTTTTCCATCACCCTTTATTAAAGATGCAAAGATTCTTCCAATGAACATAGTTGGACTTTTTGTCAAAGATAATGTGACTGAGTGTGTTTCTGGTTGTGTTTGAATCTTCTAATCTACTCCACTGGGTCACTGTCATGTTATATTCAGTATTATGCTAATTTTATCACAGGAATTCTGTAGTATAATTTCAACTCAGGGATTATGTTTTCACATGCCTTACCTTTGCTTCCCAGAATTGCTTTTGCTGCACTACTTCTCAATAGTTATATTTTGAGAACAAGTCATATGCTCCTAAACTGAGGAATGGACAGAAAAAATGTGGGCTTTGTACAATGGAATACCTCTCTGTCATACAGAAAAATAAATTTTGAACTTTTATAGATGAAGATTAAAACTTGAGACCATATTCATACCCATATGGGCAAACAAATATTGTTACACTAGTGTGAGAAAATGAACAAGTAAACAAAGTCCAAATTGTATAATATATATTACGATTTATGAAGAAACTGTTCAAAAGAAAGGAGCAACTGTGATGGGGGACACTGGAAAGGAAGAAAGGAAAAAAATACATATATAAAAGTTGTTATAAGACCAAGTCCAAGCCCAGGTCCGGTGAGCATGTGGAGAGCTTACTGCTACCCTGCACCAGCGGGACCAGTCCCAACCAAGGCACAGCATGGGCCAGAACCTCTCCCACCGCCTTGGGGCGCCACCCACCACTCCATAGAACCTCCCCCACCCCACCCACCGAGTAGGAATTTCTGCCGAGTTCCGGAAACCCCCAGAGCCAGTCCTAGCCCAGGTCCAGTGAGTGTGTGGAGAGCTTCCTGCTACCCGGCGCCAGCGGGACCAGTCCCAGCCCAGGAGCAGCGTGGGCCGGACCCTCTCCCACCCCCTTGGGCCGCCCCCCACCACTCCGCAGCACCTCCCCCACCCCACGCGCCAAGTAGGAATTTCTGCCCAGTTCCAGGAACCCCCAGACCCAGTCCTACCCCAGGTCCGGTGAGTGTGTGGGAGAGTTTTGTCTTCCCAATACTTCAACTTTCTCCCTCCAGGCACAGCTCAGGGATGGCATACACACCTGGGGTGTAATCCTGCAGCTGTAATCCCTGCAGAGAGTGTAGAGGATAGATCCAACCAGCTAGTCTAGGAGCAGAACATCTCACCACAGGGGCACAACAGCTTCACCCTGAAGGGCAGCAGCAGGAAGGAGCTGAGCACAGCAGCCAGACCCAAACCAGACACAGCTGGATAAGTCTAAACTTTGTACAGCTGCACCTGAACTTCAGTACATGTGAAGGTTATAACTACAGAAAAGATCTACAACAAAGGGCAGAAGACAGTGCTACACAAAATGACGAGAAGGAACAAAATGCAACCTCAGAACCCAAGCCCACCCGTAACA